GAGGAGTCCCTTGGCTCACATTTCTCAAGGAAGCCAGTTCCATCCCATGGATTACTCATTGCCTGCTCCCATTGCTGGAAATCCCACTGAGCTCCATTCTCTTGCATAAGTAAATGTAAAATCAGACATCTCCTTCCAGTGCCGTTACAAGGTATTTTTGGCCCCAGAGCAAAATATTAATTTTGCATTCCCTCTCCTTAGGTTAGCATGCGTCGCGCTCTTTACTTTTATAGCTCACTAGCAGCAGCTGCCAACCCCGGGCCCTTTAGAATTGCCAGGCCCTGGGGAAATAGCCCCCGTTGCCTTCCCATCTGACACAACAGGCCTTTTTACCACCCCTTCCAGTAGGTGAGAGCAGATGAGGAGGGGCCGAGGGCACATGGCTCCTAGTGATGCACCCGGACCACACTCGCTCCTGGCACAACGTCTCCGCAGCCCTTCGCTCCCCAGGCCGCCTGCTTTCACCAGGGGCAGCGCCAGGCTCTCGTGGCCTCACTCCCACCTCCTGGCTTCTCTCCCGCCTCTCCCACCCGGCTGGTAGAGGGGCTGAGCCGGCCCACTGCCCTCAGGGCTAATCCCGCCTCCACACTCACCCGTGTGACAGGAGCTCCCCTCAGCACTGCAGCCGCCCCGGCCTGCTGGAAGGGGCGGGACAAAGGCCTGGCCTGTCAGAACGTCTTTCTACAAAGTTCTGGAGTTTTCTCACTCATTCTGGCATTTTCTAGAAATTTCTCAAGTCTTCCAGTCTATCCTCAAATGTTTTCTGTGACAGACGGCGTGATGGGCACCTCTCCTTTTATAATAGTATAGATTATTTTCACTTATTGCGTTTTTGCTCCCCTGATTATGATGCGCCTGGAGTGAGCACCCTGCGTGCCTTGCCCTTGTTATGGCCGTGTCCTTCTCCGCATCCTTTTTTAACTGAAGGGTGCAGACACTGGCAGAGGAATATGCAGATACTCCTCCTATGCAATGTGGTTGGCTCTGCACTCTACAGCATGTGAAAACAGAGCTGATCCTGGTCTAGATTCAGCATGTGAGCCCTGCCGCGTGGAAGGGTGAAGAGTAGAGGGATATATACAGATACGAGAACTGCCCATTCAGCCAGTAACACTCTAGCTTAGCAAACTGTACTGTGAATTCCCAGGAGGAAAATAAGCTGGGAATTGGACCACAGTCCTTCTGTGTGTAAACTGGCCAGCTGGACTTCAAACCAGATGGGAAAGGACTGGAAATGTGAAGCAGGGACTGGGGACAAGAGACTGACATCAGAGCCAAGTCCTCCACAACATCTTGCGCTGGGGATTCTCCCAGCAGAGCGTCATATCCCCTGTCTGACCTCACGTGCCTTTCTGCACAAATGGTTCATTTTTTGGTGACTGGACTCTCAGCTTCGCAGTTCCCTTCCACATACACATCCCGGAGCTTCTGCTGAGTTTATTACTCAGCCTTGAGTCAGAGGTACAGCTTTTTAATAAAGCCGAGGGGAGGTGCAGCGCAAAGCTAACCCACGTTGGCTGAACAAATATAAGACACCCACCTGTATAGAAACACTAGCCTGTTGAGATTGGGAAGTTTAACAGGAAGCACAGCAATAATCCCAACAAAGCAGCTAATGGCAGCACCAGTCCTGCTCCTCGCTTTGCCACGCTCCACTAGCAAACCTGGTGTGGGGCGCTTTAGAGATGGAGAAAAGGGGCACAAAATGAGGAGCAAGCAACAGTCCTCAGAAAGCCCAGCTGGTGTAGAAAAAAAATAATTTCCGAAGCAGCTGCAAACGTACCTTGGGTTCAGTTCTATGATCTTTGACTTTCATGCCAGGCTGAGAGCTGCACCAAGACACTAGGTGAACGGAAGGCTCCGGCATCAGAGGAGAAACGGAATGTAGCTATCAGACGGGAAAACGTGCCCCATAGTAAGGGATGGGTGACAAGTATGAAGTGACAGGCAGTTGGTGTGTAAAGACAGGCGATAGCACTGTCTGCAGTGACACTCAGAGGGATGCTGGAGGGATATGAAAAGATACCAGACGGGTTTCTGGGGAAAATGAGACAGGTATGTGACAAGAAGAGACAAGCAGGCAGGGCCCAGTATGCGAGGAGAAATGAGAAGCATGAAATAACAGGTAGGCAATGATGGTTGAGAGGTTGCTGGGAAGAGGGGAAAGATATCCATGGACAAGGGGCCCGCCGGGACAACTTTGTGAGGCTACAGAACGGAAGTGCAGAGATAAATGAGAAGCAAGTGGTATGTAGGGAATGTTAGGGTAAGTTTATAGTTACAAGAGAGAGGGCTAGGAGACAGGAAACAGAGAGGCACTGACACATGAGAGATATTCAGGGACCAGGCTGAGGTGTGTTTTGATATTGCTCTGTATGCTGTAAACATTTCCCTGTGGTTTCTGTATCTATGAACATCCAGTTCAGTTTGATATATGTGCTGTTCCGGAAAAATGAGCTTCACGTCTCCCATTACTAGCCACTTTTACAGATGCTGCAGAGAAACGCTAACAGCTCATTTTATTCCCCTTACGTATTATCCCTATTCTAACAGTTACAGCCTAAATCACAGTAAAAATTGTATAATGGGAAATATTAAATAATTTGTGCATAAAGCACATACACATTTGCTCATACATGCACGCACTCACACATACATTCCTTCAATACTCACGGCTGGCCTACATTAAAACTTAGGTCATTCGAGCTCTGTGGCTTACGGCTGTGAAAAATTTTGCACACAGAATGGCATAATTAGAGCAACCTAACCCGCTTTCTAGATGCAGTAAAAGGAAGGAGTCTTCTCTCACCCTAACTAGCCACCTGCTTCTCAAAGAGGTGGATTAACTACACTGATGGAAAACCCCCTTCTGTTGATGTAGCACTGTAGTGTAGCTGTTTCCTCCCATAGCACAGCGGTACTGCCTTAGAGGCGGTAGTGTACCCCAAAATAATCAAGACTGATCCTTCATACTTCCCAGTATGGAAGGCATGGACCCAGCAGTGCATGAATGTTGACATTTAAAGGGACATAGAGAACTTCAAATTTGGTTCCTAAAGGGGAAAGGATAAAAGCAGGTTCTGCTTCTACCCCTGCTTCTGTGGCACACTGTGAAATTTGATAACTTGAAAATGGCGTTTTCCTGTTTTTGAAAGTATTTGATCTTCCCTCTTGTTGTCAGAGATCCCCACAAATTGATAAGCTGTTCAGGGGCAAGAGCAAATGGGATCTTCCACAAAGTGCTATCAAAGGCAAAGGTAGAAAGAAACGATTTTTCTCCCTCCCCTTTCAATTATAGCAGCCTGACTTGTTACAATAATGGGTGAAAAATTTGCAGAGAGAAGTGTGATTAAGTTGTTGATGCTCCTTTAACATCAATAAGGGTTGACGTAAAAGGCAGGGTATTTACATTAAGGATTCATCTCTATAGACTGGTTTAGATCTTGCAATGGCTGAGACGAAATCACCATTTTTTATGAGCTCCTGATTTTACAGGAGGGGATTACATAACTCGTCTATTTTAATTTAATTCTGGCTGCCATTTGGCATAAAAGACAACAGCTGATGCTAATGTCTTGTTTAAAAAAAGACTTTAAATCATTAGGCTGTTTTCCGAGCAAGCACAAAAATGGTCTGAAAAATAACTGATGATTGCAGATGAAGGATTTCCCTTGTGCTGGATTCATCTCACAGAGGACCCTCTCTGACATTAGCTGACGAGGACTGAACATGATGGGTTAGGAAAAAAATTGGTCCTAAATCTATTGGCTGTACCAACAAAATCCACGTTACCTATTACATACATTCCCATACATTCCCTACTCAAAGCAATACGCCAAATCAAGAACGTGCAGGAGTAGGGGGTTTGCTGAGAGATGTCGGCTACTTCTAAATGCTTTGGTGGGTTTTTCAAAGAATTCAGGGCTCGATCCACTAATGGATTCCAGAGGTATTGGCTGGTAGATGCTCCCACACAGGGCTGACTGAGGTCACACTTGGGGGCAAAAGCTAATACGGGTCCTTCAGGAGAAGTTGGTAAATTGTTCCCCCCCTTTCAGTGGCGATAGAATGCCTCATTAGACTTTTCACAGCCCCACCGTCTAGCCAACCTCTCTTCCGCCCTATTCAGCCTTAATTGCCATGAATAGCAAACCAGCAATGTTGGGGAGAACCTCACTGAGCATCCATCAGGAAGTCCTGCAGATTTGTTAGCATGGGGTGGCCAGCTGCCCAGTCTGTTCCAAAATCTGCAGGAGAGTGTCAAATATTCCATACCCAGACCCCAGTCATCTGTAATGAATGGAAAGGTAGAAGCAAAGGAGGGGGTTCTACAGCTTCCATCAAATACAATCGTTCAGCAACGGGCCATCGCCCCCGTTAGCTGGTGGGAGAAACCTCCCTTCTTCTTCCCATCCCATCCCGCCTTTGCCTGTCGAGCTGTACTTGTCCTTCGTTCCCATCAGGCAGGACCTCTCACCTCACTGGTTTTTTGCCTACTGGGTAACTCAGCCTGTGCAATGGAATATTCTCACCGTGCTCCAATAGTAGGCTGATCTCGCTGCTCCTAAAGGGCTGGGAAGTAATGGCAGGCATTTTGAAGATGTCTTCTGCTAAACTATCCCTGGGCTGTGTCTAGACTGGCAAGTTTTTCTGCAAAATCAGCTGCTTTTGCAGAAAAACTTGCCAGCTGTCTACACTGGCCTCTTGAATTTCCACAAGAACACTGACTTCCTACTGTAAGAAATCAGTGCTTCTTGCGGAAATACTATGTTGCTCCCGTTTGGGCAAAAGCCCTCTTGTGCAAATCATTTGCGCAAGAGGGCCAGTGTAGACAGCACAGTACTGTTTTGCGCAAAAAAGCCCCGATGGCTAAAACGGCGATCAGGGCTTTTTTGCGGAAAAGCGCGTCTAGATTGGCACGGATGCTTTTCCGCAAAAAGTGCTTTTGCGGAAAAGGGTCCGCGCCAATCTAGACACTCTGTTCCGAAAAAGCTTTTAACGGAAAACGTTTCCGTTAAAAGCATTTCAGGAAAATCATGCCAATCTAGAGACAGCCCAGTAGTTTGGTGCAGTAAGGAGACTACAGGCTGGAGGGGCAGCTTGGGCTCTGAATTTCCTGGCTTGTGTGGGCTTGTGAGCTCAGCCATTATTTATTTTGGATGGAGAAAGGGCAGTGGAGCTTTGGAATGCTCTCCATAGGTTCATAGCCTGTATTCATGGAGGCTTTTAAGAACAAATTAGACAAACACTTGTCAGGGATGGTCTCGATAATAGTTCATTCTACCCTCCATGCTGGACTAGATGACCTCTCGTGGTCACTTACAATCCTGCTGGTCTTTGTTCTCCACTTAGAGGAAAGGACAGTCGGAGTTGTGCACATATGCACCCTTTGCAGTCACAACCACAATACGGGGGTTCATATAAAAGAAGGAAAATATACATAGCTCCTCCTCCCCCGTCTTCACAGCCTCAGCATGTTCAGTGTCCTCACTGGCTGAGTTCTTTCCCAGAGCATAGTGTCATAGGAAACAGCTAGGACCCTGCAACCAGTCCCTGAAAACTACCATGTAGCCATGCCTGTCCTATCACACCTATCACACCATTCCAAAAGCTGCAGCTTCATTGGTTTCATGCGCCAGTGCACATTCAGGCAAGAAGCCATTTAGACTCTTCCTCATTAAGGAGCCAGTTCTGTGCGTTCTGCTCCCAGGGACTTTGACTCAACTCAACAGGCGCTCCTCACATCTGAAGACAGAGCATGGCCCTACGTGAGGGTGCCGCCATTGAAGTGTCATAGGAAGAGGAATTCTTCCCAATTCTTTAGGAGGTGTGTCCGGGCGCGCGCCTGCCTCCAACTGCACAGAAGACGCACTCAGAATGTGCCACGAACCCTGTGGCGTGATGTGAGTACATTTCCCCTAGCATCTTAGTGATCTCCCTCTTGCGCTTTTATCTTACATCTGCAGCACAGCGGGGACCCACGCGTGGCTTACTTGTGTAACAGGACACAAATATAGCCCAAGAAAGATCAAAGAATAATTTCATCAGTCTTTGATTGCACAAGGTTCCCAAGAGAGTTCTCTCTCCAGTCTCATTCGTTAGGCTGACTAAATGTATAGGCCAAAGGCATTCATGATAGATAAGAAAATAGATGGAGAAGCTGCACCCTGGGACCTGCATTTGGATGCAGACTCAGTTTTCCACCCTCACACGCCTGTGATCCTGTGCTCTAGTCCCTGCCATTTATTTCACAATTCCCTTGCGTCTTTAAACTATGGTTCTTTAAACTATGGTCCCCGTCTTTAAACTATGGTTCTCAGATCAGAAGGCTCTATGCTCTTTCTGATAGTCCCCCTAAGAGAATGAAAATTGACCCAGGAAAGGACCTCTCTCTTAGACAGTGGTCCGAAGAATGAAAAGTCGAGAAGCACCGTTTTAGAATAACAGTCCTGTCAGATGCTGAAACCTTCCCTTCGAAAACCTTTTTGTCTAGGTTGCTACTCGCCTCTGGTGCCAGAGAACTCTGACCAGCTGCACATGTCTCTGAAATGAGACCACCAGACACCCCACTCTGACTGGGATCCTGAACCACAAATACCCAGTCTCTGGAGCTTAAGGGATCACCACAACGTGAAACTTTGGCTACTGACCAACATAATGGCCTACCAGTGAACTCCTGTTCAGCAAAGCCACGCCACGCTGCACCGAACCATGCATCAGCTCTCTCCCATCTCACCTTCCTGTTTAGCCCAGGCATCAATTGCATCCAGTGTTCACGTTCTCAAGTTAGGACTGGGAAGACGTTTATTTTAGAAAATAACAGTGCTGCCCTAACAAAACCCACCCTCCCAATGAGAGTAACCTCTTGATGGCTACAGAACAGACACTCCTCCTGCATAGCATCGCCTCAAAACAGAGCCTGAAAGCTCTGTCCTACCCTAATGCATGGATGTGCAATGCCTTTTAAGACCTACTCAGCTTTGTCCTATTTTGCTGTGTGGCGCCTTGGACGCCAGTCCTTCCTATTTTCTCTGTGTTGCATCACATTTTTGCTCCAATCCTGCTGGGGTAGCAAACCCATGGAGCACCCTAAACACAGAAATTGAAGCCTATTATAAATGTATTTATGCACAGCTTGGTGGTTGTGCGACACAGCTGATGTCTATACATAAATCATTTCTTAAGCTATGCAACAAAAATATGGAAAATACAGCAGAAAATAGGTGTCTTGGATACTGGACTCTCAGTCCGTGCACAACATGTTTCCACTGTCTTATCTCTTTCTGGAGTAAGGGCCGTGTCTCCATATTTGTACAGCACCGAACACACAGTTAGCAATCGATAAATAAAAGCAGTCCATGGACAATACATAAAAATAACTTTAGTATCAGTGTTATCAGCTGCTGCACGAGGCCAGGACCGAAGCTATTTTGAAGTGTTGTGTGCGGTGTGCTACGTTGCACACAAATCCCTTTGCTTTTACCTCTCCCTATCATGCCCGATCCTGCAATGCATGAAACGTGCATTCTCGTATAACAGGCTGTCTTGCGTTCTCCTCCCTTGTGAGCAGGAAGAAATACCACATGCTGCCTCCCAAGACCACACAGCTCTTCAGGGATAAGAAGCATCTTTTGGTTGTGGTTTTGGTACGGAGCCTAGCACAGCGCCCCTGCTCCCTGCTAGCACAGGACAAATCAATCGATACATCTTAATGATCATAATTTGCATCTGGAACCTTTTCTAGTATGGGCTTTTGGTCTGGCCTCCTGGGGAGGAAATGTTGGCTCTTTGACAACGTGAAAATAACACTCAGCTTCCCTTCCCGAAAGAAAAGGACTTTATGGTAGGAAGGGGGTGCAGTAGAGTCATGGCTGACATCACAATGTGAGCAACAAAAATGGAAGAAGGAGCTGACTCGGTTGATCAGTTCTATCCTGGGAGATCGCTCACGGCCTGTGGTGTTAGCCACCCCCTGGTTGTTAGCGTGGAGTTCCAGCCACCCAGGCCCCCACAAGTGACAGCAGTGCTGTGGATTGTGCTCGGTTACACTCGTTTTAGGACTGCTCTTAGTGTCCCCTCCAAATGTGCGGGATAGGTGAGGGTCGGGAAAGGTCTGAAAGGCTGGAAGTTCATATTGGCATTATTTACCAACTAACCAGTGTGGTAAATTTTGGGAAACCTGCCTTCTCGATAGATGACTCCGTGCCCCACAGAGGACATATTTCTGACCCTGAGAAGGCCAGAAACTGCAAGGTGCCACCACTAACCAAACAGACCCACAAACTCAAAGAGTCCTAGTGCTGCGTTTGGGTCGCATCCTGACACAGGCTCCCCCTTTCTCTCGCCCTTCCCCCTTTCCCACTGCGTTTTTAACACCAATGAAGTTTCACATTTGGAAATGGGTTTGGCTGCCATGGGAAGCGTATGGTTTGTGATGGTCCCATCCCTGCTCTAGCTGAGCCTCCTCTGGGTTTGGGTCAGTAGGTCTGTGTAAATTTTGGATCTCAGGAACCTGGGGTAAGAGTCTTTCTCCATGAGGCTGTGCACCTTCCCTTGGGCCTGGTCAAAGCAAGACAGTGAGGGCTCCTGCACGTTATTTCTTGTCACCTCCCGTGTCTGGAAGTCTATGTTCACCTAGGGGAAAAGACAGCAAGAAGGATTCATAGAGTAACTCTGGTTTATGTAGTTAAAAGTGTATGTATGTCGCAGCCTTGACTAGCAACACAAAAACATAATCTTTGGGGACAGGGGAGGAAGGGACTAATAATAAGTCATGGCCCGTATTTTCTAATTTAGTGTACTTAAGTTAAGCACGTCAATCCATATTAATTTCAATATCAGCTATGAGTGCTTGCTACCTCTAAAAACCAGACCTCTGTCACTCCAGCTATGCTAACACTGATCAAGGTTCCTATCAATGTTATGAATTTTAGTGGTTTCAACCATTAGTAAAATCTTAATACCTTTATGTTATTTTTATTTTACAATAAACTGTTTGACTTGTATAATAATTTCGCATGACAGCCAGGGTTCTAATTTTTTCCATTCCTGTGCAGAATAAGTTTTGTTATATGCACCAAGGCATGTGTACAGGTGCACCACCAATAGAAACACATGCTGGTGGCTGTGGGCGCTCTGTTGATCAGCTGGGCAGCATTTGACTCTCTCTTGGGTGGCTGCCCAAATGCTCCAGACTAGTGATGACTTTAAGCTTATGACTTTAGAATTTTTGCTGGAACAACGCCCTGAATTTTCTCAGATTTTGCCCTGGCAAATGACCTATCTTAACTGTGGCTGTCATGAGATGGATTGGCTACAAGGCCATTCCTGTGGCAGAGTTACTGCTATTACTACTTTTTTGGATAGGGAGGCATTTGTGGTACCCAAATATAATGCAGTCGAGAAAGGGCACCTTTCTGTGTGCCTCCCCTCAGAAGATTACAACACTAGCTGGCTGTGCATTACGCTGGTTGGCCATTTCAAGTTTGGATACACCACGTTCATGTCTGTGGAATCGCAGGCCAAACCCTTGCAATATCGAAGGACACTACCCCTCCTAATCTAACCTAAACCTGCGTATCTAATCCTGCCTGGAATAAATTCAGTGCCACAGGATTCTGGATCTCCTCCCACTCCAATTGACATAATCAAAAAGACAGCCATTGACTTCAGTTGGGCCGGTATTTGGTACAACCTCTGCTTGAGTTTGAGCCAAAGGATTTGAGAGTCTCTTGCCCCTGGGATCTCCTTCTAGGCAATCTTACTGTTCCCAGTAGGACTTCAGCTCACTTCCAGGGTTGTCTTAGCAACCAATGTATAGTCTCCTTGTAGGCCAGAAACTGTCGCCACTAACCAAACATACACATAACCTCGAAGAGTCCTAGTGCTGCGTTTGGGTTGCATTCTGACACAGGCTCCCCCTTTCCCTCCACCCTCTTCCCCTGTACCGCTGGGAGCAGATGAAGGGTCACATGTCCCCCAACACCATGTGGGGAGGGGCAAGGGGCCAGCAGCTGCCAGGGGGAGAAGAAAAGGGTGGAGTGGGAAGGAATCTTGCAGATTCCGAGTGTTGTAGGATCTACATTGGCACATACCCCCCTCACTCTGGGAGAGCCAACAAATTAGCGCAGTTGCTGGGAGTGTTGTTGACGGAGTTTTGGGGACCGCATGAGGCATCCATTTTGAGACTGGTGGAGGGTGCGTGTGCTCACTAACCTCTCGAGGAGCTTGCACATCAACGAATTCTTCAAAGATCCTGTGCGCCTTGGATGCCAGTTTGGTTGCCGACCGGGTCTTTTTGAACTCCTCGCAGGCCAGCCAGAACTCCAGATTCTCCTCGCTGAACTCTGTCTTCAGGAAGGCGCGGAATGCAGCCACCCCGTCTGCAAGGGGGAAGCATTGGATTTATGGAAGAAAGGAAGCAAGTTCAGGCCAGGTGAAGCCTCCTTCCTTTATAGCCCACTGTTCACCCGTTGTTTCCTGTGGTGGTGAAAAGCGGCGTACAGTGGGCTGGGAGAGGACGGTGGAATGGAGTGGGAGGCTGGATCACTCTGGCTCCCATCACCGTGATGAGTGGGGACGGGCAGGGAGAACGACTATTACTGCTGCCCCTCATCTGGCCCCCCCAGATAATCCTCCAAGCCGCTCTGGGTTCCACCCACAGGACGGTTGGGGCAGCGGCCACAGGGCCTCCCAAAATGCAGGGTCTCCCGACTGTCCTATGGATGGGACGGCTTTACCATCAGTCAGCGCCAGACAGGAGATGGATTGTGCAAGCTGGAAGTGCTCTCTCTTATTCTTTTCCCTCCCAGAAAGATCAGATCCCAGCCGGATCCTCCCCTCTTCCCGTGGGCAGCGAGGGAAAGTGACAGAATCTGCTCCAAGGGAAAGGAGAGCCCTGCCCTCAGCCTCCCTCCCCTAGCCAGAGTCCAGGAGACAACTAGAGGTGCCATCTGTGAAATGCAGAACCCTTCCCCCCTTGTAAGGGAGCCCTCCTGCTGTCGCCTCACAGGAACCCCAGTCTCAACCACCCCACTTCTGATGGGACTCGGGTCTTGGGTCTTTTGGTGCCAACTTGTAGGGTTGCCAGATGGTTTCAACAAAAATACTGGACACACTTGACATTACATCACAATCTACATTACAGCTTATGTAGAAAATACCGGACATTTCTAGTTTCTCATTTATATTTTCTCAAATTGTTTCCTGAACAGGAAGCTCAAATATTGGACTGTCCGGTTCAAAACCGGACAGCTGGCAACGCTACCAACTTGTGTTTGGCCCCAGCCACTGGCAGAAGACAGGATACTGGGCTAGCCGGACCATTGGTCTGACCCAGTCTGGCTACTCTTCAGTTCTGTGCCTTTCCCAGTGCCCGGTGCTGAGAGGAGTCGGTGCGGTTTCAGCAGGTTGACGGTTCGGCCCACCCCCAGGTGTCTGTCACCACTCTTCCAGCCATGTGGCATGAGTGGTAATTACAAAATCACCGGCCACACGTGTGCACAGCTTACAGCGAACGTTGGTCCCAAGCAAAAAAAAAAAAAAAATCCCTCAGCACAATAAATCTTTTCCCTGGCAAGGCAGTACAGAAACTGGCCAGACTAGTTAAAAACTAGCCAGCTGGCCACCATAACCCCCAAGATACAATGGTTCTGTCAACACCCTCTCCCCTCATCGACATGCCTTATGTCTTCCTGTAACCTCGCATCTGCTCCTCGAAAGCAGCTGGGAACGGTTTTCTGAGGGCGGGGGTGGACGTGCCCCCTTTTAAATAGCTCATGTGAGATTATGGATAGAAAGGGGACGCAGGTGTATCACATCAACTCTCTGTAGTGTCCTTTTTTAGTCTCGTTACTGCCCAGAGAAAGGGAAATGTGATGGGGCGTGCCATAGTCTTTATGGAAATATGCTTATGGATATGAATTAACTGGAATATACTTCATGCACGATACTTCATGCAGGGTGCCGCTGGAAAGGTTGCAATATACTGCATCTATTATGGAAGGCTGTCTGGCCTGTGAAGAAGATCATTAGAAAAATTTTTAGGTTGTGATACTATATGTAACTAGTTTCTTTAGTGTAGTAAGCTTAGTTGTGTGTTAAGTTTGCTCAGTTACTTTGTTCTATCTGCTACCTCTTAGGACCCTTAAATCCTACCTTTTATACAGCCCACAGACCCGAGTTAGCAGCAGCTGGGATTGAACCTGAGGCCAATGGGGCTCAAGCCATGTGCCTCTACCACATGAGCTAAAAGCCAGCTGCCTCTCAACTAAAGCTGTAGAGTAGACTTCACCCTCCCTTGTCAGTGGTCTTGGTGCCTCTGGGTTTCACTTACTAAAATCACTTTTGTTTATTAATAATCCCAGTGTAAATAATTGTTACCGGGGGAGGGGGAGCTGCTTAGGGGCCTTATATAAGGAGGTGGTTGGTATAGCTGCTTGAGGTAGAGCTGCTACCTGTGCTGCTTTCACTTACATCATGGACCGCTCCTTGATAAAGAGGACCGATAAAGAAAAGTTATTTATTAGTTCCCTAAATAGAAGAACTAGAGGACACCAAATGAAATTAATGGGTAGCAGGTTAAAACTAATAAAAGAAAGTTCTTCTTCACACTGCATGTAGTCAACCTGTGGAACTCCTTGCCAGAGGAGGCTGTGAAGGCTAGGACTATAATAGAGTTTAAAGAGAAACTAGATAATTTCATGGAGGTTAGGTCCATAAAAGGCTATTAGCCCGGGGATAAAATGGTGTCCTTGGCCTCTGTTTGTCAGAGGCTGGAGAGGGATGGCAGGAGACAAATCGCTTGATCATTGTCTTCAGTCCACCCTCTCTGGGGCACTTGGTGCTGGCCACTGTCGGCAGACAGGATACTGGGCTAGATGGACCTTTGGTCTGACCCAGTACGGCTGTTCTTATGTTCCTCTCCCTGGCTGACCCCAAACAGCAGGAGACATGAAGCTGGCACCCAGCTTGTGCTCTCTCCAGTGTCTTTCCTGGGGAGGTGGGAAGTCAGGAGCTGATTGGGGAGTTTCTCAGTAGGGGCTAGTAGAGAATGAAGCGTGGAGGGGAAAGAACAGCAGATCCTGGTGCCAGAAGGCTCTTTGTATGTAGCTGGTTCCTGTAGTGTTCATTCTTACATGCGCCATAGCTGGTTAGTAGCTACCCTGGGAAGCTTTTTACAGTGACTATAAAGAGCTTTGCGATGTGTTTCCTGCCTCGCTTCCTGGGTCTTGATTCTCCCTCTGCTTTTTGACGTCCTTAGTGCTGACACAGGGGTCACTCTCCACAAACAGAAGCCTTGCCAGGGGACGTGAGGAACAGCGCATGATGTCTGGTGAAAGGAAAGGCTTTCTCGTGATTGGTGTGTGAGAAAGACCTCAGCTTCAACCCTGCCCCAGAGAGCAGCCTGGAGCAGCCATGGAGCTGGGTCAGCAGCTGGAACCAGAAGGTCTCTGCACAGCTCTCACAATCAGTGGCTTGTGATGTGTAAATAAATGGAGAAAAGCGTCGGATCCAAGTAGCAGACATTCCTCTCTTCCTGTCTGTACTCCGTCTCCTTCCTGGCTTCCCGCCTACTTCCTCTCCCCTCTTCACTCTCCTCTCCGGAAACTACTTCCCTTTCTCACTTCCCCTCCTTTCCCTCGTCCTGCAGCTCCTGCAGGCCTCTTGCTTCACTCTGTCCTAGTTACTTTCTGCCATCTCTGTCCCACCTTCTTCAGTTTCCTTTTTCTCCCTCCCTCCCTGCCTTTCCTTCTGTTCTCCTCCCCTGCACCAGTGGAAGAATTTTGGTGGTGCCCAGAGCTCACACTCCTGCCCCACTTAAACTCCCCCCTCCCACCTGCCTAAGGCTCTGAGAGGGAGTTTGGGTGGGGGAAGGGTTGCAGGCTCTGGGAGGGAATTTGGGTACAGGAGGGGTAAGGGGTGGAGCTGTACGGGCCTCACTAACCCTGGTGCACTGCCGACAGGGCCAGAGGACACTGGAGGCAGGGAACGGCGAGTTTTTATGGTGCCAGCCCAGGGCCAGGAATATTCCTGGTGTCAGGGCTCCACAGGCCCATATAACTCGCTGCCAATGCCAGTGTTTTTTCCTTCTAAGCTGTGCACTTGGGCAGCTGCCCAGGAGATATTCAAATGCCACGCAGCTAATTAGCAGAGCATCCACAGTTGCCCAGAGCAGATTTTTCCATCGGTGCTGCACATCTGCACATGTCTAGGAGCACGTAACAAAATTTATCCCGCACCTGAATGGAAAAAATAAGAAGGAACATTGCCTTGCACCCATGTCTATTCCAACTTCTGTCTTTGTTTCTACCTTCGTTCTCTCTGTCTCTCTCTCTCATGGCCTTATGCTCTGCAGGACAAACGTCAAATCCAGGGGCAACCCCACAGCTAGCATGCACTCATTCGTAAGAAGCTGATCCCCTCCTGACGTCTCCCAGGCTTCTGTCTCCTCCATGCATGAGCTCTCTCTATGTAGTGAAAACTCTTCTTTTTAGATCAGATGGCCAGGATCCTTCTGTGTTGTTTGGGGGGCTGGAGGTGTCCAGACCTAAGAGGACTTTCTTGGGAGGAACTTTAGAACCTAGGGCTCCTTCTCTTTTTCCTCCGCCTCCGGCTGATTTCCACCACTCGCCTTCCCCCCGTGTGTGGCCGATATAAGTCATGCCTCGGTCGCTCCCCCAGGGCATCTCACTACTTCCTGCCTTAGCCATTTTGCCTGATGTCTACTGTAGCCCAGCTCCTTGAAAACAACAGCCTCTGGCCCTAGACAAGCACTGATTTCAGCTCTCCATTTCTGGCCTTCTCTGAGCAGGCTAGCGACAGACACACACCAGCTCCTGAGCCCCTCTGCCAGCGGCATCCCCCTCTCGCATCCAGCTCCTACCACCAGACACTCACAGAAATTACCACATGAGCGGGGCCTAGTTCAGGCAGGGTGGGCGGCCGGTCTGATCCGAGCCTCAGCAGAGACACCAGCCCAGGCACTGGCCTGGCAGACTCCAGATTCTCCGGGCGGCATTTCACACTGCCCCGCACCCTGGCAGGTGGGAACGCGGGTCAGTCCAGCCCCGGCCCACGCTGGCTGCCGCCTGGCCCTCCCCAGAGCTGCTTGGGCACCCGGCCTCATTTCCAGCATGTGGCTCCCAGGAGTCACCAGGTGATCTGGCCCTGCGGCAGGTGGCTGCTTCCCCTTGGAAATCCTCTTGGGATGCTGGGTTCTGTGCTTCGGGGACAAAGAGCCTGACGGGTTGAAGAGCTCACCATGCCCTGCCCATCCTGCCAGCCCAACAGGCTCAGCTTGGCACGGGCTGGATTTGTGGGAGGGGGCTGCGTAGAGGCAGGAGCCAGGCATGGATGGGGAAACAGCCCTGCAGGCATGTTACCTGGGGGGTCACTGGAGCCAGGCTCCTTGAAACTGGAGCGAGGCCGATAATAAAACACGGGGCCATGAATATTAAGGCTGAAGAGAGAATGAGCAAGGATAATAAGGAAAGGTTACCTGTAAATCAAGAGGGATAATGTGTTCCCTAGAGTCTCGACTTTATTCTAACAGGCTGAAATCCTTGTCCAAGCAATTCCTCACCTAAAGCCTTCCAGCCTCACTAGCCCACATGGCCAGGGTCCGCATTGACTACAAAAAGTGCTGTCCTTTGGGTTCCTCAGTGAAGGGTAAGAGAGGCGTAACGACATTGCACAAGGGGGGTTTTCTTGCACAAGAAGGGGCAGTGTAGACAACTCCTTCTGGCGCAAGAGCCTCTTCTGCAAAAATGGTGGCTCATTAGGTATGCAAATGAGGCTCGGTGATATTCCATGCTTATCCTCATTTGCATATTTCTGCCACAAGAAGCCGCGAGTGAAGACATAGCCTAAGATGGATAGAAAGCTGGCTAGACTGTCGGGCCCAATGGGCAGTGATCAATGGCTCAATGTTAGTTTGGGGGTCGGTTTCTAGTGGAGCCCCAAGGATCTATTCTAGGACCGGTTTTGTTCGATATCTTTATTAATGACCCGGATGAGGGGATGGATTGCAGCCTCAGCAAGTTCGCAGATGACACTAAGCTAGGGGGAGAGGTAGATTCGCTGGAGGGCAGGGATAGGGTCCAGAGTGACCTGGACAAATTAGAGGATTGGGCCACAAGAAATCTGACGAGGTTCAACAAGGACAAGTGTAGAATCCTGCACTTGGGACGGAAGAATCCCAAGTGTTGTTACAGGCTGGGGACTGAATGGCTAAGTAGCAGTTGTGCAGAAAAGGACCTGGGGATTACAGAGGATGAGAAGCTGGAGATGAGTCAACAGTGTGACCTTGTAGCCAAGAAGGCTAATGGCATATTAGGGTGCATTAGGAGGATCGTTGTCAGCAGATCCAGAGAAGTGATTATTCCCCTTTATTCGGCTCTGGTGAGGCCACATCTGGAATATTGTGTCTAGTTATGCCACACACACACACACATACACACCCACTACAATAAGGATGTGGACGCATTGGAGAGGGTTCAGCGGAGGGCGACCAAAATGATTAGGGGGCTGGAGTGCATGACCTATGAGGAGAGACTGAGGAATTTGGGTTTAATCTGCAGAAGAGAGGAGTAATGGGGGATTTGATAGCAGCCTTCACCTTCCTGAAGAGGACTGATGGCAGAGGTGGGAGAGGTCCAGGTTGGATATTAGGAAAAACTATTTCAATAGGAGGGTGATGAAGCGCTGGAATGAGTTACCTAGGGAAGTAGTGGAGTCTCCATCCCTAGAGGTGTTTAAGTCTCGGCTTGACAAAGCCCTGGCTGGGTTGATTTAGCTGGGATTGGTCCTGCCTTGGGCAGGGGCTGGACTTGATGACCTCCTGAGGTCTCTTCCAGCTCAGACAAGATCACAAAGAAAAAACTATTTCTTGCCATTTCAACCAGAAAGGACACTGTCTCAACGACTTAACCACCTGCATTCTGCTACAAAGACCTTTTACATCTGCACTTGAAAGGGAATCCTCTGAACTGTCATTCATGTTAAAATTCGACACTCTCCGGGGGGATTAAACAAAGACCCCAACTACCTTACCCATTACCAAGATAGCTTCCCCAGTTATCACCTCTAATACCATTAGCTCACAGACATCTAACTTTCCCCTCCTCTAATATCATTAACTCACAGACACTTACCTTCCTTCCTCACCCCCCCCCCCCCCCGCATCACTCTTCTGTTCTGAAATGTGATTTGTCCTTTTCATATTTGTTCATTTTTTTAAATTGTATCCTTTGGTATATATGGTTGTGACTATTTTCTTCCACTGTTTGATCTGAGGAAGTGGGTCTGGCCCATGAAAGCTCATCATCTAATAAACCATCTTGTTAGTCTTTAAAGTGCTACATAGTCCTGCATTTTTCTTCCAGCTCTGTGATTCTATGATTCTTAGCTCCTGTCTGGAAAAAAGCTATTTGTCAACTCTTCCTGATCCCGCAGTTTCAAACGTATTTTAGTAGGTTCACGTAACTCCCTGCAGACCAACCATGCATGCCTCTTTTTCCACTTAACATGAGCACTGTGCTCTAAGCTTTCATCTGATACCTCACGCAGCAATGCGGTACCTGTAGTGAGCGTGTCAGGTCTGAGAGAAGATGCTGTTACAGAGCACTGACCCTTTGTCCATTGGCATTGAGTGGCTGTAAGAGTGGCAGCCTCTGAGAGTGAACAGCAGATTCCTGCGCCCTGACAGACAGATCCGCACTGTCGTGATGCCCTGCGGCTCCGGGTGGGAGGGGAAGAAGGGGCGTGGAGGAGAGCACTGTAGCCATCTGGTGGGAATTCCAGGGCAGATATAGGCCTATTGAATCCTGCTCCCTGGAGGCTGAGTTAAAGACCTGCATGCTCACAAAGAGAATCATGGGAGCACTGCTTACTACAGGAACCTTTGTTTCAAAGCCCTTTTCACTGGAAGCACAGTACCCCCCGGATGTGTCCGGTATGGAACTGACTTGAACAGCAAAGCATCATCAATGGAGTCCCCTACTGAAATATCAGCAAAAGAAGCACGGAGGAGTTAGGAAGTGTGATACATCAGTGATGTACTGGGAGTCTTCAGATGGCTCGGCATGGCGCATCATCATAAAGATACCTCCTTCTCCAAGGGCACGGTCAGAGGGTATCGGTGTACTTGTTTAGGACCTGGCCTGGCAGTTCTAGTGTACTTATTCAAGCATCTGACCCCAACAAGGAGCTGTGGTGGGTGTGGGAACCACCCGAAACCAAAGTGGGGAGCAGCTACTGTTGGAGCAATCTAATAAAGACATTGCATAGAATTCCTCTAAAGGGAAGAAAGCATCAGAACCTGTAAGAAGAGCAGATCTGGAAGGACTTTGCACGTCTGCGAGAGCAGACCAAGGAAAGGCTGGAACATTCTCCTTTCACTCTTGTGAACACAAGCCCGATTCCACAATCGTTACTTGGGTCACTTCTTATTCAGCCACGATTCTCCCCGACTTCTGTGGGAGTTTAGCCTCACTAAGAACTTCAGTTTATGTCCTTCTGTGTACCTGCTCCAGCATCATGCTGATCCATAAAGCTGTAAGGTGCACTGGGGATCTTGGGGATGGCTTGGGCTAAGGACACTTATTTCCCAAACAAGTATCTTTTTCTGAGCTCCTCCCCTGATGTTAAGGATGTGCCAGAAGTATCCTCCAGCCCTGGATGCTTTAAGTCATTATCATCTTTGGCACTTAGGCATCGTGTGTCACTGGTTTTAATTCATCCTCCCAGTTCATCTGTGTCCTAGGTATTATCACCTTCCTTTGATAGAAGAGGCAGTAAAGCAGGAAGGCTCTTGGATTTGCCCAAGGTCAGTCAGAGAGATGTGGTTAGAACTCAAAGAGTTCTTTACAACCTACTTGGTGTTCATTCCCTAAGAATGTGGAGAGAAGACTGACCAGAGCAATAAGGATTGTTAAGGAAGGAGTTCTGTCTGCAGGCAGATGAATGACGACAAGTCCTCAATGTCTTGAGAAGATCCAAGACTGCAGGATTAATTCATTCAGACAATTGGATCGCCAGCCGTTTAGCCTATGCTGGAATGAGCACATTAATGGTTATTTAGGTAATGCTTGCATTTCATGCCTTAGATTTGATTGGCACTTAACATAGGCTGAGATTTCTCAAGACATGCAGGTGTTGCTGCACTGAGCAATGGCTCTGTTTTATTTTCAAAAGGCACTGGGGAGTCCTATTACTCCTTGCTGATGCTGAAGGTGGCGGGAGTACCCGAACCTTTCTAACCCTAGTACTGTTTCATTTCTTTTTGGGCTCGTGTTGGCAGCACAAAGCTGGGAGAGCAGGAAGAAGACTGGGATTTTCCCATGAATCTGTGGGAAGTAGAGCCAGGAGTGCTCCAGGAAAGGCAGAAGAAAGATGCTCTATGTCAGAAGAGCAGAGAAATCAGGAGAGAAGGAGAAGGCGGGGAAATCACCACCAGAGAAGGCAAAAGGAAAGGTACGTCAAGGTTTTTCTAGGTCTGACTGTTGAAAGCTGACTGAGGAGTTAAGGAAAGTTTGTCCTGCTGGATATTGCACGAATGACAAGCCCCGTGTCCAGCCCCGTGAGAGATGCAGAGCGAGACGCACCATTGCTCCGCCGGCACACTGTCAAAAGGAATCTCCATCTGGCGGGCCAGACCGTGTCTCCTGGGCGTGAGAAACAGAGGGAAGCTACTCTTGTGTCCCTCACTGCACACACACACTCCTAGGCCCAACTGAGCTCCAGTCTCACAGGAGTCATCGTTAACCTTAATGGCATGAACTGGGGTAAAGATGTTCAAAGGCAGCACATTACAGTCACTTGCCTGGCCTGGGAAGCGAATTACAAGCATGTCGCAAGGGCTGCATCACGCTGCCCTGAGGTTTTCTCCTCCCCCCTCGCTTTTAGAAAATGAAAACTCCACATGACTGTGCAGTGCTAGCTGGCCTGTCCCTGGCAAACAAGAAGGTCACAGCAACGTGTCGCGTTCCAGGTCTGGGCCACAAGAGCAGGTGCTCCTGGCTCGAGAATGCAGATTGCCTGGAAGACGGCTGTTCCCTGGGCCAGTGTGGTGCATAAGACACCTTGAGCCAAGAAACAGGGAGGCCGACGGAATCGCCGGGCCCTGGGCAAAGCGGTGGGGGCTGTCTCTCTGCACTCCTGGAAGGGGCGGGGCCTCAGGCAGAAGGGGCGGGGCTGGGGCAGCCAGCATTCAGAGCCGCCCGGGCCATGCTGCACCACCCTCAGATAGCTCTTCACGCCGCCTGGAATGCACCAGTTGGGACTCCAGCAGTGATTTAAAGGGCCCGGAGCTCCGGCCTCTCCCACAGTAGCAGCAACAGCATCTGGGAGCCCTGGGCCCTTTTGAATTGCCAGGTCTCAGAGCAATAGCTGTCAGAGACACACTCCAGGAGAGGGGTTCTGAGCAGAGATTGTGGGGAAGGGTAGGTGTCAGTGAGAACAGTGGATTTCCTTACATTCTGGTATCACTCTGGAACCAGATGTTATTGGAAACCACCTTTTATCTAAGGTTCTCCAAGACTCCTCCCAGAGACCCTCTCCTGCACATATTGTGTTGGGATTACCTATGACTATAAAGTTCAATAAAGTGATGCAGACAATAGATTTCCATACGTCAGCCGATATTTTGCAAAGGTAAATGAGCGGATATCATACATAGAGCGTGCATGATTCCTTTTGAGAATATCTCCCCCTGCAGCCTCTTTGTAGTCTCATTGTAAGTAGCAACACGGGGTTCAGAACTTCCAAAAAAGAATACTATAGCATTGTGATTCTTTGTGTCAGCCTCCTTCCCTTGGCAGTACCCATTGAATTCTTATGAGGGTCTCAAGATTGTATCACTTTCGTAACATTTAATCCCGCCCTTTGATCTGAAAAGTATCTCCCTGCTCCCTTTCATTCCTGCCAGTATATCTCTGGAGTTGGCTCCTTGTCATTCAGTTCCCGAGCTCTCTCATAACACGCCATTACATCAAAAAAGTGTTCAATCAGAAGAGGAGTAAAACCTCATTCCAGGTATAACTTTGGCTCTGGTGTATAAAAACTGGGAGCCATTAAAATTATTCTAAGCGAACTGGCAAACCATATCTAATTTTTAACCTCTCTGAAAATTACACGGGAGTTTCCCTTCCAGAACAGACCAGCGGTTCATCTCGTGAAGCAACGGTGTTTGCCAGATGTTTCCGAGAAAATGATACGTGCATAACATTAGAAAGCAAATAGAAAATTTCTTCCTGGGCCCAGCTGGTGATCAGCTTATGCCTCAGAGCATGAGCATTACGCTTGCAAATACTGTTCACACAGGCAGTCAGAAGGAAATGTGACTGATATGGTTCTCTCCCTTTTTGGCACTAGCTGGAGGCAGTTAGTCGAAAATGTTCACTGGGGACAGCCACACAGAAATGCTAGAATAGGCACAGAACTTCTTTATCTGTCTGACAGTAGCACAATATTTGCTCACGAGTGCTTCTTAATGGGGGGGAAATACAGATAACTGAAGCTTTGTCCTGCATCCCTGTTGGATCTGAGGCAGATCTATTGCCTTTTTAATGCAGTTGTGAAAATGAAAATACCCACAATGACTACCCCAAGATAATCCCTTTCACCCAAAGGTCTGTGGGTCAAGCACTGCTCTCGTTTACACTGGTGTAACTCAAGAGTAATAGGACTGACTCAATGGAATTACTTCCAATTTGTATCAGTTTAGTTTATTTGAGCGCAGATTTTGACCCTCACACTAGCAATTCCAGAGGCTTTAGGTACAAAACAGCACGTAGATTATTCCCTGAGAAGGCTATTTCACAATTCACTGGGTAACTCTACCAATGCCATATTAGAAACTCATCTTTTTGTTATCACGTAACATAAAGTTAGCACAACTTCCTATTCTCGTTATTGGAGAAAGCTGGTATCTCAACTGATGTTCCCTAGAAGCTGTACACTTGTGTGGCCACTAAGGAGAGATTCAAATGCCACCCAGCTGATTAGTAGAGCACCCGCAGCTAGGTTTTTGTTTCTACTGGTGGTGCACATTCGCACATGCCTCGGTGCATAGAAAAAAATTATTCTCTGCATGGATGGAAAAATTCTACACATGGATGGAAAAGATTAGAGAAAGAAATATTGATCTCAAAGACCTCTCTCTATGCGGTAGCTACTAATAAATGCTGACATTTTTGTCTACATTGCTTTTGTAAAAGAAGCATGCTTTTGTATACACAAACCTTATCTTTTTTAATATCGTAATTTATGCTCCGTGTAACATAGGACTCTGACAAAATTAAAGATGTGCAAAAAAAATTTGGATAGTGACAAAAGTTTTCCATAATATTTTGTGTTTTGAGCAAAAAAGAGTGTTTTTAAAAAGCTGAATACTCCTCCCCTCCCCGTTTTTCCCCTAGCTGCAAAAACTATATTCTTGGGGAATTACTGTTATAAAATAATGCCACATCTTTTCACCCATGGATCTCAAAGCAGTTTGCAGTCCTCAATTAATTCCCAGCAGAAAGCAATAGGATTTCAATGGGGCTGTTTGTTAAAGGTATAGAAAAGATTTTGGAAAGAATGCAATCCCAGGTTACAGTCCATGATATCAGAATTCAATAGCTTCCGGGTAGGATGTGTTTGGTGGAGCAGAATAATGTTTCTATGAACAGAATTGGAATGATTGATCTGTTTTGTGGTATGAAGTGTGATGATTAAATGGGTTTGTAGGATCTGTGTTTGTAGACCATTCAAACTTGTCAGTTTAACTATAAGTTAAACCACCTAACAACTAAAACAATGTTAATTTTCTAACATTCAAAGTCACATAGGGGATTTGAATGCCCACTGGATTTCCTATTAACGTTAATGGTAATCGGGCAACCGGATACCCCAGGTGAGTTTGAAAATTTCAGCCACAGTGTATGTTAGTTTTGCAATATACCCTGCCACTCAGCATATTCTTGTGATACTGCCCTGATGCCTTAATTATGAGTGGTGAAGACAGACAGCTGTGAGTGATCCACTGTGGGTTCTTGCGCCATCTAATACAATTTGTTCACATTTGATCTGCAGTAAATATTTGTGAAAGAGGATGGAGATAGAACTTGGTTTCTACTCACATTTATGGGACAAAAGACTGTCAAAAGAATCTGCCCATCTTGTGGCTTCTTCTGTTGATAATCTTCTAAAAGAAAGGAAATGACAATCACAAATAGTCTGGCTGTGTTTAGTCTGCAAGCTTCTTTTGGAAGAACCTTTTTTCGGAAGAGATCTTCCAAAAAAACTTCTTCCGACAGAGAGCGTCCACACACCAAAGAAGATTGCTTTTTCGAAAGAGCGTCCATACTGAATGGATGCTATCACGCGTTTAAGCTATGATTACTATGGACGCAGTGGCCACCGGGGCACCTGTGCTTTTTCCTCTTTCCTTCTCTTTTGAAAGAACGCCCTCTTCCCCGTCCACACACATCTTTTTCCGAAAGAGCTCTTTCAGAAAAAGGCTTCTTCCTCGTAGAAAGAGGATTACCAACGCTAGAAAATTCTCTCTGTTCTTTCAGTTTACTTTTGGAAGAACGCTATTGCAGTGTGGACGTAACTCAGGTTTTGTCAGAAAAATGGCTGTTTTTCCAACAAAACTCTGTAGTGTAGACATACTCTCTATTGCAGACAGCCTTCTGGTGCAGCATGCCTGGGAAGGGCTGGACAAGAACACCCGGACCAGGACTTTGTATCAACCAAAGTAGAGACAATCAACGATGAATTAATCCCAAGTTTTACACAAGTCATACATTCAATACATTCAATAAAACTGTTTGTCCTTTACATTAATAATGAGACATAGTATATTGGGTAAATTCTTCCAGCATTGTAGAGCATAATAGGGCAATGGATTGAAGATGCTGATCACCTGTTACGCCGAGGTAAATGCTCATATTTAGACTTGTAGTAACAATGGGCCAAATTCTGTCCTCAGATAAATGCAGACGACTCCCATTTGTTTTGTTTGCATGGTCTAGCTGAGAATTTGCCTCAGTGTAGCCACGATACAGATATTTTCTAACAGAGCTGATGTTGTTTCAGGTTCCTTGGATGTTTGTCTTCCTTTGGGAAAAACAAAGATTTGGGGATTTTTCATTGCTTCCTCTCAAAAGATTAACTTAATTATTTTTCAGGGATCTTCAGTGCTAAAACCAACTCCAGTTGTAGGGATTGGGGTTCAAAGCCTATCGCGTACAAAAAAGGAAGGAAATACAAATAGAAAGGAAAGGAGAAAGGTACGTCTGTACTCACTTCAAAGCCCGGTTGGGCTTATCTGGAAGAATGGCTGTGAAGTCATTACAAGAGTCTGATTTGTGAGACAGGCAGCCCAGGCGAGTCCTCATCCCTCTGTTCCTGTAATCAGTGTGGGATAGGGGTGTAGGCAGGGGAGAAGCAGAGGAGGTGACAGTTACAAGAGTAGCCAGAGTTGTACAATGCAAAATCTCAGTGACTTGGTATCTAATGTAAGGAACCATGTAAGGGTTCTAGGGTTTAGTCGAACATCTTCTGTGAAGGCCGAGAGATCTCTAAGATAGCTTTGTGCTTGAGTGGATAGGACTAAAATATCAGAACAGTCTCAAGTAATTAAAGTCTTTGCTTTGTAGTGTATAAGTCAGTAAAGGACAATGGTGAATTGGTGTGAAAGGCCACAGGCTTGGAATGGTTTCTCATGGCACTCTTCCTTGGCAGATGGAAGGGGGAACTGGGCAGCTGTGCCAGAAATCAGTTACCACTTTTCACCAGTGCACGGACGGCACAAATACATGAGCCCTTGCAGTTAGTGGGACATAGAGAATCAGAGGGAACAGGTGGTCTCTGCAAATGACCCATGACTCTCTAATACAGCAGGATGCAATCTGTAAATTCGGAGTGACTAGGCTTAGCGGACTAGAGATGTATCTCATCCACTATAGATGACTCTGTGTAAGGATTCACTCCATCATTTGCTACTCTCTAAAATATGTTCCACAGATTTCACCCCTTCCCACCTCATAACCATCCCCGCCCGTCCAGTGGGGTAGGAGACACATGCACAAAACACAATTATTACATAACAATCTGGGAAAACTTGGGAGCAGAGGCATCAAACAGGAAGGGGGGGGCACGGAAATAGTACTGCATAGGCACTGGCCCCTCGCAAACCAATAAATGTTGGTTAATAGTTTTACAACAGGATCTAAAAGAGCAAGAAATGCATCATCCATTATGCCCCGTCCTAATCCCAAAAACATATCTACTAATGGATTCTCCCAGCACTAAATGAGAACACCTTCTCCTACGGATGAGAAATGGAGAATTCAATAATTCAGCCCATGCTCTTCCAATATTGGACCCAACCCCGGCCTGGAAGGACCCTTTTGTTTTAACAACTTGATAAATCTTTCCATCTGCTGGGGAAACACGACATTTTACCACTCTCTCTATATTTTTCCAAACACATGGATGCTCGTCTCTGAACCCGTTTGCATCATGCCCAGTTTTTTTCTTTATCCCTCTCAGATGTTTCCTATGCTGCATGTTTTAATATCATTTTAGAGCAAATTAAATATTAATTGAATGCAAGCAACGATTATCTCCCTGGCACAATATGGGTAGCTTGTAGCGTTAGTTATTGCAAAGTATTGAGATCCTTAGTTACCGGCATTACTGAATGGCGTCAAACCATGGACATCTCAGGACAAAATTCCACAAGCGATCTAAACGTTGATGGAGAAACATCCCCTGTAAAAGGCTATGTTGAGGACTCCAATGCTATGTCATTCAGACACATTAGGTGAGTCTAATCTATGCGCTTTTTGATGCCTTTTCCACCAGAAACCCCCAACTTTCGTCCTTCCTGAAATGCCTGTTCCAGCAAAGGCTTGTGAATTGCTCAGCAGAGGTGCAACATGCACTACCGCAATGCTGGTTACATTTCTCTGATGTCTGAGATCAAGGGACTGCAGCAGGGAATGAAAGAGATGCTGCTGCAAAAGGAAGATCGTTCATTTTTGACAGAACATTGAGCCAAAGGTTTTGGATGCGGGAGGGGAAGCAAGGAAATGGAATCCATGGGAAATGGAGAAGCCAAGGAAGGGCAGGAGGGGAAGAGGCAACAGTGGAATGAGCTTAAAAGCTTATCAGACAAGGGAGAGGGTAACAGGAGGGGAAGGGGTAAAGAATGGATCGTTTCTTTTCAGTTACCTCCATGGAATCAGTAAGGCATCCATGCAGGCTTCCAGTTACAGTTAACCCTTTAATTGGCTGGTGTGTAGGGCGGTCAGTGCTGTTTGCAGGAGATAAGACTGCGGGGAGGAGGTATTTACTGTGTCACGTCCTGTCCCTTAAAATCAAAGAATCCTCTGTAAAAGGAGGGGTAGCTGTTCTCAACCCATTTAATTCTCTTGCCTCCTAGCAGGGAATGTTGGATTTTCAGTGGCAACCATTCAGAGTTGAGGGTTGGTCATAGCAGGAAATTCCACCTCTCTTTTACTCCCCAGAACAGAGGTTCAAGTCCAGCTTCAGGTCTAAGTGACGTGAGTTTGGTGGTCTCAGCTCACCGCTGAACGGCAGCGGTGGACATAACCGAGCGTATCTTTCAACTCAACTGGCAATCCTTGCTCAAGGGGCTCAGCTCAGGACTGAGCTGGCTGAGACCAAACTACCTCTTGCCCCTGACATCCCCTCAGGTCATGGTTGATGGAACTGGCCAGGCATCATGGGAGGGCTGGCGCTGCAGCTAACCTGTAAATAAAATAACACGAGGACTTCACGCGTCTGGAGGTGCTGGTCCTTTGACCACCACCAGCTCAAACATTCACACGCTGTATAAAAGCATCATTCCTGATGCACCTAATCATATGGCCTCTTGGAGCCTGTGCCATCTGTGAATGACTGAGGAGAAGGAGAAAAGGACACAGGAAACAGACAAGCCTTGGTACAGGACCAACTTGTGCCTCTGGCTTGTGACGGAATCTTATTCTAAGGAGAAAGAGCCAAGCTGATGGGATAGAGAATGGGTTGGTATCGTCTTCCTGGTGCACACGCCGTATAATTGTGTCCTAGTGACCATGAGAGAGGAGGGGCCCCGGGTAATCTCCCTATCCTCTTACCCGCAGAAGCAGAAGGCCAAGGAGCAGAAGAGAGAGGAGATTGTCTGGGGCGCAGGGGGGTGCCTACCTTCCTTGGGGCCTAAAGAATCCCCAATGCTCCTGCTGCCAAATGCAGCATCCATTTTAAAACCTGATTATGTTAAAAAAGCACAAAGCCGCTTCCCCACGACCCTAATGGAGCAGGGATTGCATTACATGCCAGTGAGTGCATCGCCTTAATCCCCATCCTGACCGTCTGCCTTCCACTGTGCTGTCACTGAAGCCAAGCCCTATAATTCCTTAAGCCCCTTGAATTGTCTTATTAACACAGTCTCCCTCGCATGTGAAACCAGAGCACGTGAGCTCCTGGATTCCAGTAGCTGGGATTTTTCTTCCCCATTGCCATGCTGGCGTTGCTTGCGGCGGGCAGAGCTGGGCAGCTGCTGGTACGCCTCCCCCACCCAAACCCACACATTCCTGCACTTGAGTTCCACCTCGAAAATGCTCTGCACTCTTCTGGGCTCCTGATGTATGAGGGTTCCATCCCAGCCCCACTCTCCTTCGCCATCCTCCGCCGTGGCCCCTTCCCTCTAGCACAGCCACCCTTCCCGCCGATGCCACAGCCGACCACTGGTGAACGCCTCTCTGACCAACGCGTGTCTCTCTCCACTGCTGCAATGACCCAAGACTGGTAAGGAGGGCAACCCTGAGGCTCTGCTGATCTCTCCCTTCCCCAGTCTCTTAACCCACCGGTATTTCTCTCTGCTGCCGGTAAAGCCAATCGGTTCAACCTTGACAAAGCCAATCTATGACTCTGTAAAGCTGGTCCCACTAGGAATCGATCCGGGGATCTTTCCCCTACCCTCTTACCACACACCCCACTCCTTTTCCTGTCCAATAACAGAACTCGGGTGCAGAGAGGAGCAGCCGGCATCTTCAGACGCATGTTTTGAGGGGGCTCTTTGGAGGTGGGGAGGTTGTTTTGATTGTGGCCCCCCCAACTTCAGCAAGACGACCTTGCAGAGTCACCCCAGGACAAGAAGAATGAAGCCATCCCGAGGGAGAAAACGAATAATACTGAGGTTTAAAATGGAAGAGCAGGGATTTCCAAAGAGACAGCAAGAAATTAAAAACACCCATCAATGCACGTAGAAAGCCAGATGAACTGAGCATGGATTAAGGCATGGCAGACAGACAGGGAGAGACGGAGAAAAGATACTCACTGCCTTTGACCTGTCCTTGCGGCCTGTGGATCTTTGCCAATCGTGTGATCGGAGAGGCTCTACGGAGAGAACAGAGCAGTCTCTTAAGAGGCAGAAAGTCACACTCAGACACACCTCCCCCGCCCCACTTTCTCTGAGCCGCAGCACAGCTGAAAGCAGATCTCCTATCTGTGTCACATCCAGTAAACACTAAATCACTGCAGAGCCTGCTCACACATCTCATTGGTGGGATTTCGGAATAGCCCACCTGATCAGAACACTTTTGTTGCATCCTTCATCCTCCTCCTCGTTAACCCGATCACAAATCCCTTAGCTTCTACTACATTAAAACCATCCACCGCCTGGCATAGTCTGTTGATGAGAAATGTTGACAGGGAGAATTCAGATGGCATTCCCCTGTAAACATTCTCTGTTGTTGTTACCCTGATTAAGTCGGAATAAAGCGTCAACCTGCATTGTTGTACAGAAACACTCCTCGGAGGTCGGGACAGGTTACTGCTTTCGGATCATAGGTCACAGAGCTCTTTCCACAGACGCGGCTGACAGAACAGGTACTCGTGGAGAGTTTAATTAAAGAGTCCTGTTGTCATCCGAACCAAATCAAATCTATTAAGAGGCAAAGAAGGCTCCTTATTGGATGTAATGTGATAAATGCAGAGCCAGTAAAAAATCCACCCCCCGGCAGGTTACAGATGTGAATTTCCTCTCTGTCCCATGCAGACCTGCTGTTATCTCACATTCGGTCATACCACTTCTCACCTGACTGGCACTGACAACCCAAATTCCCTGCCCTCCCACACAGAGCCACCAGTGCCTGACTTCCTCTTTGCTCTCCTACCTCTTCCCTTGCGACAGATGCAAATTGCCCTCTCTCTCCTATACAGATCTGTGGACTCTTCCATCCTTGTGCCCTCAGGCCTGAACTGGCAAAAGGAATAAACAAGAGGAGGCATTTTCAAAAGCAACTCAGTGACTTGAAAGTCAGTAAGTCTCAGAGGGACAGCCGTGTAACTTTAAAAACGAGTAGTCCTGTGGCGCCTAAGGGCATGTCTACACTATGGAGAAGATCAGCGCTGCTGTGGTCGATCTTCCAGGGTTCAAATTAGCGGGTCTAGTGAAGACCAACTAATTTGAGTGGAGAAGGCGCTGCCGTCGGCTCCGATAGTCCTGCTCCTCACAAGGAGTAGAGGAAGTTGACAGGAGCGTGTACTCCCGTTGACCTCCTGCTCTGTGGATGGCACCAAAACGTGGTTTAAGATACTCCAACTCCAGCTACGTAATTAACATAGGTGGAGTTGCATCTCTTAAGCCGACTTTCCCCTGAAGTGTAGACCAGGCCTTAGAGACTAACAGCAATATATATATATACAGTATTATGAGCTTTCGTGAGCACAACCCACTTCTTCAGATGAGATGAGCTTGAGAGAAAGTTAGTGGCACTTGTCTTTCTAAGTCACTTTGGTGACTTAATTGGCCTTTTGCCTCCTGTGAGTCTGTGATGACAGGTTTTTATCCCATTTCCTTCTATACCACATGCCAACCCTTTCACACAGATCTCAATCAATATCCTCAGATAGGAGTTACTATAGAGAACTTTTTTCTGGGTGTCTGGTTGGTGAGTCTTGCCCACATGCTCAGGGTTTAGCTGATCACCATATTTGGGGCCAGGAAGGAATTTTCCTCCAGGGTAGATTGGCAGAGGCCCTGGAGGTTTTTTGCCTTCCTCTGTGGAATGGAGCACAGGTCACTTGCGGGAGGATTCTCTGCATCTTGGGGTCTTTAAACCATCGTTTGAGGACTTCAATATCTGAGATATAGGTGAGAGGATTATTCTAGCAGTGGGTGGGTGAGATTCTGTGGCCTGCATTGTGCAGGGGGTCAGACTAGATGATCATAATGGTCCCTTCTGACATGAAAGTCTATGAAACCATGCCAGATGTCTCCCTTAGCCACACAAACATGCAGTTACCATTGTTTTACTGCTCTCTTCCACCATTGTCTGGAACTGGTATCCTATTTTAAAGCCTCACCTACCCCTCTCTATTAGTAAAGACTTCTGGCATTTGTGTTCTTTGTGGGTCCAGCTTGAAGCATGTCCTGAGATCACGTGTGGTTATATAGGCAGTGTCTACTGAGAAAAGATTTATGAATGATACAAAAATTATTTAAGCAACTATCAGAGCCATGGTAGGTTTTCTTCTTGGAATTATTCCTTGTAGCTCTCAGGGAAATGATTGATCTGTTCTCTGCTCAGTACTCTGATCAGGCCTCAGTTTATCAGGAGCCAGAGGCTGAATGAATGTGATGATTGGTATAAGACTCCCGTCATCCAGAATCAGAGGCTGAGAAACTCATAGTGTGTGAATGGTGCTCAGAAGGTGAGTGAATGTATTCAAACCAGCAACCAGCATGAGCCTTTGCTCGAAATCCAACCCAAATTCATAACACCATTGCAAGGAGCTCAGCAAATTTTTAACCGTCATTTGTACTGCTCTGTGCTGTTTCCCTTCCTACTTCTGTCTGGGCTATTGCAATATCACGAGATATGCTATTTTTGCAATAACAAAAAATGTCAGATCTTTTGGGCCCCTCAACACAACTTCTACACCAACAAAGAGACCCATTTAGAAAAGTTCAGCTCCAGCATCCGGACTTTTTGCCTTTGCTTCGATCTGAACCAAACCAAATCTCTGAAACACCAGTCCTGTATGTATAGCATGAGTCTCCCCTCTGTTAGGGTATGTCTACACTACCCCGCTAGTTCGAACTAGCGGGGGTAATGTAGTCATCTGCAGTTGCAAATGAAGCCCGGGATTTGAATTTCCCGGGCTTCATTTGCAACTGCGGATGACTACATTCCCCCCGCTAGTTCGAACTAGCGGGGGTAATGTAGTCATCTGCAGTTGCAAATGAAGCCCGGGATTTGAATTTCCCGGGCTTCATTTGCAACTGCGGATGACTACATTCCCCCCGCTAGTTCGAACTAGCGGGGGTAATGTAGTCATCTGCAGTTGCAAATGAAGCCCGGGATTTGAATTTCCCGGGCTTCATTTGCAACTGCGGATGACTACATTCCCCCCGCTAGTTCGAACTAGCGGGGTAGTGTAGACATCCCCTTACATCAGTTTTACTTCATGGTAACTCCAGTGACTCCAACGGTGTAGTAGAGTGGAGGATCAAGCCTGTAATCTGCCTTATTGATTCTCCAGGTCAGAGTTATTAATGCGTCCACTTCTTGGGTTGGCAAAGTGGGTTATTAGGCAGTCCCAGAATAACTGTGGAGACCGATATATCTCTCCATTACTTTCCTGGGTCAGGGTTGAGTTAATCTGGAACAAACTAAGTACCCTAGGTTGATGCATGTGCCATGACAAATGTGATTAAATTGCAGATAAAGAGAATTATATTTTACAGTGTAATATTTTAGAAAGCCTCTGTGAGGTAGGAGAAGGGTTTATAGCAAATTCCTTCTAAAATGGCCCTTTTGTTTTTGTTTTAGCAGACATACTATGCTGGCTTCTATTTAAAAGCTTTTAATAACACAGCCATTTAAATATTACCTCTGAACTCCATCCAGCATTTTAAATCTCCTTTTTTGCAGCAATTTCCTTATGCCCATCACAGCAAATGCACAAAACAGGAATGTATGGTATTGAGATGAGGTTATCGGGGAGACTCTATGGACACAGGGAGCCACTGGACAGGGCAGAAGGTCATTTACTGGCACAACAATCTAATCTCTGACGCCAAGCTCTTTCCTTCCGATCCCTCTGCATCTTCTGTACACTCAAGTGTCTCCCTGCCTCCTTTATGTCACTAAAGTTTTGCCCATGGCAAGCTGACAGCATCCCCCAAATTTCAGATTATGAACATGCAGCTGGTTGTCCTCCCTTCGGTGTGCCTTTGGCTGGCCCTGCTATGTGAACACTCTTCTAAAACAACTACGTCCCGTGTTTGATTCAAATAATCTCTTGCCTCTTGCCAGGTAAACAGGCTTCCCTCCGGCTGGTTTGAAAGTATCTGTGCATGGGTGTGTGCTTGCTTTATTTGTTTGGGGTTTTTTGCTTACGGGTCCACATGCTTTTGGGTTCACTAGCTTCCCTGTTGATTTTAAAGATTCTACATTCCACACCTCACTTCTACTTTTAAGGTCCTTTCTGCAAGCTGGCTTATGTTATTGGAAGCCCTCCTTTGAGGATGTTAAACCTAATTAGCCTGTCGGCATTATTGCCTAGTGATTTAACAGTCGTTACTTCTGTGTCCCCTGCATTGCTTAGGGCTCAGTGGCAAATAGCTTTTCCTATTGTGTGTGTCACAAGTAGCTGTTCCAAGAAGCACTTTTTCAAGATGCCAAGAAATTGATTCCCTAAACCTTGTTCCATGGTGACATTTGACCAGTTTCTATCCAGGTAGCTGAAGTCACCCAGGATTTAATTGGAATTAGTCTCTGAGAAGAGCTCACAAGGGCCTAAGGGTTTGCATTGGAGGACTGGCTGGCATTGATTGCTGTATCCCACACTGAGGCTAGCAGCATACTATTCAGCCTAAGGAGTGCTCCAGCCACGGCTGCAGCCTTGGGTCCTATTCTGATTGCTGCCATGAGTAATAGCCAGCTAAGAGCTTGTGCTTGGATGCAGGGCAGGCTAAAAGGAACACACAGTTCTGACCTGGAGCAAAAGCTCCGGAACAGACATATCCTGAGGAAGTCTAAATTGGTGTAGGAGCCAGAAGTGATAAGTTACATCAGCACAGAGTCTCTTGGGCACTCTTATTTGGACTCACCTCTGAATAACTATCACTATTTGGCTATGTTTGCTTTGTCTTTTGTACTCCCTTTTCTCTGCCTCTCCTGTTTATTTTGCTTTCCCTTCTTCCTCTCGCTTTCCTGCTGCCTCTAACCATTTCTTCCTCCTTTGCTGTCTCTATCCCTTCCCACTTATACCCCCAGTCACTCTCTCTCCTCACCCTGCCCCTTCGCAGCCAACACAGGACAGGGGACCTTCTGAAGGTAGGGAGGTGGGGTGGATTCTGGAGTGCCATAGGGGATGTGTGCCTTGCC